TGCTTCCAAGCAGAAAAGACAGCTGCCACCCCATGATATATTTTGGATTTGACCTGAAAAGCAGTGGCTCAGTCTTTCTGGGGAAAGCTCTCTGAGGCAGCTTTTGTTTGCCTCTGGACTATCTCCTGAGAGACAAGTCTGTCAGCCAGGAGTCAAATAAATCCAGGCTTCTAGATTCAGAGGAGAAGACAGGCTGATCATTTGCTCTCTTGGCATTCATCAGGTAAAAATTCATCTTGGTGAAAATCCTGCTCCCTAAGACAAATTATGGGCCCCTAAAGCCTTTCACTAAAGGAAAGTAAACAGTTCTCATGCAAATTAGATAGTGCATTCCAGACATGGGCAAGAGGGCTCTCTTACCATTATTTTTTCAGGAACTTAGAGTTTTCATTGTCAGTGACCCTCTGTGTACTTACATACCAAGGGGTAAGAATATCATAAAATATGTATTTGTCTACCTTATGTTGTCTGTTGCCTTAAAATCGTGGGTTAGGTATCTATAATCCTCCCTTGCTTGCCTTTATAACTAAAATAAAGAAGACAGTCATGCATAGTGGTGAGACTGTGAAGCCAAAAGACTGGTGCTTTGAAGTTTGTAAGACACAATCAGCAATATACATCCTAACATACAGGATGATGTTAGGGTTAATTAGTTCAAATATGCACAGTGCTTGGAAAAGAAAATGGAGTATATGGAGTCTAACGGATAAAATATATACTTCATAAACATGCCAACCATCTAGCCCCATGCTTAAAAACACTGCCAGTTTATATTTGTATCATTTATTTGCAGCTATGAGACTTAATAAAATATTTCTTTTATTGTTTTAATATCAATATTTTATCAAGTCTTTCTTTTCTCAATAAATATAAATTGCATTTTTTGCTAGAACATTTCTGTAGCTCAATCTCTTTAAAAATAAAAATGGTAAAAAAAGAAGTTATATGATCCTAATTTGTCAAGAAGAAAATAAGTTGGATGGCTTTCAGTCCATTTTCCAGTAATGAAATGAAATATTTGAAATAGTTGCTGTTTTATGTATGTTTACTTTATATTAAAATGAAAATTTCATAATGCTATCTAAAATACAACCCAATTAAGTTTCCAGTGTCTTCATTTTCATGTTTCTGGATAGAACTTTTGAAAAACTTACACTGCAGTGAATCATAAACCACCTTGCAAAGGAAAAGCTATACAAGTTGGAAACTTGAATATGTGGAAATATATAAGATTAGACTCTTTTTTATTTTTATTATTTTTGTAGGACCAGGATTTGACCTCAGGCCCTATACCTGGAGCAACTCTGGCAGCTCTTTTCTTTGTGTGTTGGGTTCTTTCAAGATAGGGTCTCGCAAATTATTTGCCTGGGCTGACTTCAAACCACTATCCTCTTGATCTCTGCCTCCTGTGCACCTAAGATTACAGGGATGAAAACTGGTGCCCAGCAAGTTGAGACTCTTTAGTGAATGATTACACAGGGTGAGTTTGAATTTCTTTCCCTGCTGTGGAAGACAGTGTTTTACAGAGGACACATTCTGAGTGGCATTCTACTGGTAAGGAGGTAGTATAAGGCAGGCATAAATCTATAATTTGAGAAAATTGAGCCCAGAGAATTTGAGAGGGCTATCAAAGTTACACAGTGAGAGTGGGTTCAAGTCCCAGGTCTTCTTTCCAATAACCTCTACTTCATTGATATGTCCATTCATGGGCAATTTTTAGTCTTCAGCTAAGCCTGAGGCAAGTTTTTAGGGGCAGCCAGGGCATTTTATTTAGATAGGGCAAAGTATATAGCAATGTACAGCGATGTAAAATTGGTTATATGCCACAGAACATACTAAGAGCTTTTATATAGATAATCTCTTTTTCTCCTTTCAAGAACTCTGTAAGATGGATTTTAATGATGTTCCCATTTTATAGATGATAAACTGAAAAATACGAAGGTCACACTACTTGTTCGAGATCACATATCTAAGGAAGTATTCTAACCAGAAGCTCAAACTAAGTCTAATTTGAAAAGTCCTCTATTAAACCATTTCACCACTCTGCCACAAAAGCAGGAAAGAATCAAGCATGATGAAAGTCCACATTTACTATTTGAAAGCAGACTTGTTTTTGTGTCTCTTTTTAAGACAGTTCTATGTAAGCAATGGCATTATAAAATATTTCTGAAACAGAAGTTTAAATGTTGGGAAGACAAATGTGAGAAATTGGTACTTTCACATCTAGGGATGATCATGATAGTTTTGCATAAATACACACATCCTCTCTGCAAGTAAAATATCAATGTGAAAGATGCTTGTGTAAAATTTTTTTGCACAAGTATCAGGTACTGTTTGTAAAATACTATTAAGAAATTGTTGCTGATAGCAGGTAACAATGGGGAGCAAACCGCTTCTTCAGTTATGTCAGTGATATTCTTGTGACTGACAGAATATTTATTCCCAGAAGTAACTGTTATAAATTGTGTTTTGCCCCTTCAGTTGCTATAAGCTTGTGATGGAGAGTGGGCGGAGAGGACAACCTGTAATTCAGGATGGTTGGGAAGCTGGTTGCCTAGGAAACTGAGATGTGCAGCAGAATGCCCACCCAAACCAACTGTCAGCAAGAGGGGATATTCTTTTCTGATCTGAATTTCTTTCCAGATACATAACCTGTGCACAACTCTTACGGAGTCTGTTCAGGACTGTTAGTCCTGGTGGGCAGCTCATGCCAAATGGTCCAGAGATTAGTCTGGAAGAATGGAAAATTTTTCATAAACCTTGTGCTGACTAAATATTTGGGAGGGTGATGATGGTGCAATTAAAATGAACTTGTAAGAGGATAAGGTAATAAACAGATGAACATGTCACATAGCACAACACAACATAAGGAAAATTCTTGATCATAACTGACTGCATCTAAATTTATAGCAGTAAAACTTGCTTTTGTTTTTAACATAAAATTTTTTATTTGTTGTAATTCTCAGTTCTCTTCTCTTATGCTATATGTAGTAGAAGATTTGCAGTAATTATTTTCAAGAATAGCACTTAGAAACTCTTAAGTCTGATGAATATGGTACCTAGTTTCTCTGATATTAAAGTATAGAGCTATGAAAATGGCAATTTTAAATAAAATAACTTATAAATAAACAGTACAAGTATTTATTTAGATGTATTTAGGCCATCTGTCATTAATAGATGTAAGTATATCTGCATCCATGTTCACACCAGTGACAAAGATTGTGGTATGGAATCCTGGGGTTTTTTTTTCTTGTTGATACCTATAGCCCCTGCATTTTCATATTACTTATCTTTTCTTCTTTTCTTTTAGCCTGATTTTGAGTAGTTTCCTTATCTTAAAATTTTATTAGTATAAATTATCGTTCCTTATTTTTTTACTATTTATTCACCTGAATTCTATTTTTCTCATATGTGTTAAAAACTACTCACAAATGTTTTAAGCTGTAAAGTATGGCACTGTGTTACACAGGTGGATTAGTAATTTATTTCTGTTTTCCAGTTTTCCCCGCATAATAACCTATTGTTTTTGCAAAGTTAATTTTTGAAGGATAAATGAGAATATAAGAGAAGAAATACTTTGGGTTCTATTCTGCTAACACTAGACCCAGAAATCCATGTCTTTGCTGGAGCATTTAGCCTCCTTGGAGCTATTTCTCTGGTCCCTCACTGTCAGAGTGAAGTTAGCAGTCATTCAGGCAGTGGTGTCTTATGAAGAGACTTTAGAGTTTATGCTATAAATGAAAATATTTGAAGTCCTAGATTTAGCTATTCTCATCCAAGGCTGGTTTCTCTCTCACTGCCTTCTCCCATTGCCATTGAACCACATTCTGCCTGTAAGGGATGATATTTATTTTATTTGCCCACTCTGAGTGATCTCTGGTCCCCAAGATGGCAAATTTACTTGACAATGCCTACTGGGTTATTCTGGGACTAAACCACCCCTAGTTTTCAGCAGAGGAAGCACAGAAACAATGAGGACTCAGTGGTTTGGGCTCACCCCTCTTCTCCACTTTGTCTCCAACCATCTTTCTTGTCACATCTTTGTAAATCTTTGGTCCACCCAAAGATGTTGACCAGGCTCTTGTACTTTCTCGTATGTGAAAAGGAAAGTGCCTCATAATGAGGTCAAATGTAAGCTCCTAGGAGTTTGTGAATTGCAGACCTCTGAGGAGCAACCCAGAAGGCTCCATTCCCAGAAAGGATTTCCTAGGGTGAGATTTTCAGCCTCAACAGAAGGTTTGCCAACCAAGGCGACTCGAGTTGGGTCTGGTTTTTGTACAAGTGAAGACTGTTATTTGTCCAGAAGTGGAGTCTGCCCTTCTTTTGCCTGACAGAAGATTTCAAATCTGCAGGAACAGGTTCAGATCACAGACTTCACTAACTAATGACCCTTGTCCTTCCCTTCATGGTCCTTGAGGGGGACCAAATCCTGACAGGTGCTTAGAGGTCATTTCACAACTAAATCCCAGAAGAAAGAAATGCTGAGAAAGGGGTGCGAAAGAAAGAAAGAGGGGAGGGGGGAAAAGGAGGAGAGAGAGAGAGAAAAAAGAGAAGAGAGAGAGAGAAATATGAGATCAGTATACAGAAGGTAAGCTATTTGCAGCTCACTCAGGTGTGCTCTAAAGCTCAAACTCCTACCTCAGCATTTAAGAGGAAACCTTTGAGCTCCTCTACTTCTTAGAAAGCACAGTCAAATTACACACACACACACACACACACACACACACACACACACTTCATAGGCTCCCACCTGCAAGTCTCCTAGGAAAGCAGCTTCTGTGGGTGAAAGAATGAGGCCAGGTGATATTTCAAGGGAGGTATAATTTAGCAGAACCACCAAGAATGTTAACATAGGTAGCTTGTTAATTTAAGTCCCGGAAACCTTTTTACATTTTTTTGGAAAGTGTGTGAATAATGTCAGTGCTGCTTTGCTTCCAAAACGGGGCACTGAGCTAAAAAGCAACAACAACAGAACAACCACAGCAGCTCTTACAGCCACCATGGACTTTCTTGAAAGAACTTACCTCATGAATGACAAAGCTACCAAGATGTATGCCTTCATGCTAGACAGGTAACAGACACAGGTCTCTACTTCTTCATGTTCTGTCTAAAGTATCCAATAAGCCCCCAGATCCTATTGCTTCTTGTTTTCAACTTGGGGGTGATTTGGAACATTTTAGAACCAACAACTGAATTATACACTTCATATCTGGAAAAATATAATACTCTATATAGTTGATTTTATTCCTTAAATATTATAAATGTAATGAAGCAAACATTTTATTAAGGTATTTTTCTGTAGTTTTTATTATAGAAAGGAGATATATACAATCTAATGTGTTTGGTTTTCCTTTCCTCAATTACTCCCATTTTTAAGGTAGAAATTAAATTTTATTAAATTGCTTTAGAAAAAAATTCAGACTTCTCAATGATGGAGAAAATTGTGGTTATATTAATCTTAATATTAGTTAATAGATATGCCTATAATAAATATAACTGAATTTAATGTTCTACATATTTTTACTTCCTTTAAAAATATCCCACAGAGGCCAAGCAATATGTTCATTCATTTTCACTTGTTTCAGCTATTGATTGAACATATATATGCTAAGTTCTGTGCAAATAATGGAAAAGAAAATACTCCTAGCTCTAGATCTCTGTCCTCTTGTGACTTAACTTGGAATACGTATAAGAAAGAGGCAATTACAGAATAAGATAGTGCTATTATGCTGGCACATTCAATGAGGATACATCAAAAAAACTTCGGTCTTATTTAGACTTCAGGGTCAGAGAAAATCTTTTCAGAACTGATAGGCTAAGGACTGAAAAAATAAAATGACTAGGGTTAAGAAAGTAGGGTTGGGAAAACTTCCTGATTGAGCTCATTGCACATGTTAAAGATAGAGACATGTATGAAAGAGAGGTTGGTGTGTCTGGGGAGATTAATTCAAGTGGGAAGTTAAGAGAAATACTCTCAGAATATGTACACGATGAATAAAAATCTGAAATGAGTTCATGCTGAAAACAGAATTTAAGGGAATACTTATTAATAATAAATACAATCTTTCTGTTTCTTAGAACCAAATTAATATTATAAAAACTGAGATCATGTTTGCTATACAAATTGTAATACATAAAATATGTTCAACTTCATTAATCACTAGGGAATGCAAGTGAAAATCACAATGATATTCTTTCATTTCCATTAGGATGATTGTAATAAAAAACAATAACAAGTATTGACAATGATACCTAGAGAAATAGGAAATCTCACAAATTGTGTATAGGAGTATAAAATGGTGGAGTAACTTGAAAAACAGTATGGCCATTCCACAAAATGTTAAACATACAGTTAATATGTACTTACTCAAGATAAGTGAAAAAATGCTTCTACAAAAATCCTACTCATAAATTTTCATAGCAATATTATTCATAAATGCCAAAAAGTAAATAACCCAATGTCCATCAACAGTTTAACAGATACATAAAATATTGTATACCCATATAATGCAGTATTATTTGGAAATAAAAGCAACAAAATACTGATGTACTGATATTTGCTACAACATGGATGAACTTTAAAAACATGCTAATTGAAAGAAGCTATTTGTAGAAATTTATTACTACATTTACACAAAATGTCTAAAATTTATAAAGACAATATAAATCAGTGGTTGCCTAAGGAGTCGGTTGTTAGGAAGATTGAGAAATTCTGCCAATGGGTTTGAACGATGGTTGTAATTTTGGGTGATTGTTACAGAACTCCACAAATATAGTAAAGCCCATTACATTGTATACATTAAATTAGTCAGTCATTTGTGTGGTGAATTATATCTAAATAAAGCTCCCCAAAAGTGGTGGTGATTGGGTACTTGGTCTGGAACAAAAAGTAACATCTAATTCCATGAATATTTCTATTCCCTACTCTTTTTATCTCTGTCCCCTCAAACCACTTGTTTCACAACACTCACTTATTTCACAAACTTTTAATAAAATAAAATCTCAACATCTACTACATTCATGACAGGGTTCTAGGCACTGAATACACAGGACTCTTTCTAGTGTAGGCAGAGGAGAGAGGTTAAGCAGTGGAAACAGAAGCCAGGAACTACTAAGGGATTTTTAAGAATGTTCTCTCCCTCTTAACATTTATCTTCTGTCTAAGAAGGAAGATGCAATCTCCAGGGCCAATCCAAACAAAACTGATGTCTTTTTGTCACTGTAGCAGAATCCAGAATTATGAGCCATCTTTGACACCTACCTTTCTCTTAACTAATACTGTTGATTAGCAGTCTTATTTCTTCTACCTCCCAATAGCTCTCATATATGTCTACTTCTTTCCATTTTCTTTGCACCACACTGCTCCAAGCCTTTAGTGTCTTGGCTGTAACTGCCTTTTAAAGGATTTTCATGGTTGTTTCTCTACCCTCCACCCTTCCAGGAATCACCCAAAGTGATCATTGTAGACATGTTAATCATGATTTATTTACTCCTCTGCTCAAAACTTTCCAACTTTCTGCCTTTAGACTACATAAAATTAAATTATTTGCAAAAGACTGCAGTGTTTTCCATGACCTGAGTGCTCCTACTTTTTTGGACCTTATCCCATTCTACTCTTTATACCATGAAAGCCATCCACGTAATCTCCTTTTTGGTCAAGGTGAGCTCTTCAACAACAGAACATGTTTCTTGTCTGTGGCCATCTGTGTCAGCAGTGCCCTTTGCTCCTGATGTTCTTTACTCACATAGGTCCTCTGATTAGCCTGTAACTTTTTACAAAGAAATCACTTCCCCAGAAGGGCCTTCCCCTACCTCCTCATTAGGTGTAGCTATTACATAGCACTGTGGCTTTAGGTAACAATGATATACTATATATTTCAAAAACTAGAAGAAAAGATTTTTGAATATTTTTGCCACAAAGAAATGGTAAAAATTGAGGAAGCAGAGTTGCTTAGCCTAATTTAAACACAGCTCTACATATACATGTATTGAAATACCATGTCATACCCCATTAATAGGTACAATTTGTGTATTTTACATATTCATTAAAATAAATTTAATTAAAAATAACACGGCTTTCTCTTCCTTCTCTCACTCTATTATATTACATGGTCTCTGTTACTGCTGGCTCAGTTTCAGCTTGTTTCCCTTAACTTGCATATAATCTCCTTTAATTAGGATCTTTGTCTTATAGAGCACAGAATCATTAGCACCTCTGAGAGGTCAGGCATATTGCAGGCATGAAATAAATATTTGTGGAATGAATTAATGAATGCACAAAGTGTTGGAAATGCACTAGAAGACCAAAGCTTCCATATCTCTTCTTACAGTGATTTGAAGTCCTTGGGAAAAGTATGTGAAACGGCAAACACATATATAGTCAAGTCATACATAGTCAGCACGAAATAAGGGGTAAAATGTAAAAATAATACCAGCCTCATTTCAGAGACAGAGAAGTAAGGGGACTTAGCTTCTATTACAAATCAAAATAAAATTAAAATAAAAACCCAAGTGTCTGCATGATTATAAAAAATAAAACCTCATTTTCTAAGTCTTATTTTAACAGATGAACTCAAAGTTCTAGAATTTTTAAATATTTCTCTGCGTTTTGCTCTCTACCTTTCTCTCTTGTATTCTTTTTTAATGCTATTTGGCCTATCATTCCTGCTCTTCAAGGCTTTGACCATAGTTGAATGCATGGGGCTCTATTAAGATTTATTCATATTAGTGAATTCACATTTCATTTTGTGATGCATCACAGCATTCACTTCTATAACCTACTTGTTAAAATAATACTTCTTAGAATTCACATCATTTTTTAAGGTCAATTGTCTCCTCTGTATCTAGTGACACTTGGATCACTTTGCAGTAATGAAAAGAACCATGTATTTTTACTTTGGTTTTTAACTTTTTTCACAGTCATATGCTCTTTTGTGAACCAAGTGAAGAATGTAGGCTCTTGTCTCCCTTATAAGACACATCATACTCACATATAAAAAAAACATCCAATTTTAGGGGGATGGTACTATTGTTTGAACTCAGGGCTTTATTCTTGCGAGGAAAGTGCTCTACCACTTGAGCCATGTCCCCAGCCATTTTTGCTTTAGTTATTTTTGGGATAAGGGCTCATGTTTAAAACTGGGCTTACCTGGACTGATAACCACCTATTTATGTTTCCAGCATAGCTTGGAGGCCAGATGCATGCCATGATACTCAGCTGTTAGTTGAGATGGAGTCTTGCTAACTTTCTTATACCCCAAGCTTCCCTCGAACTGCAGTCCTCTACGTCTCCACTTCCAAATTGGCTGGGAATATATAGCCATGATTCACTGGGCCCAGCCCTTAGTTTTAGTTTATTTTTCAGAGGGTCTCACTTTTACCCAGGCTGATGTTGAGCCACTCCTTCTACTCCTGCCTCTCTCATAGCTGGGATTACAGGTTTGCACCACCATACCTTGTCCCTAAACACATCTAATATCAATAAGCCCTCTAAAGATCACTTTCAGACTTCTGCCTTAGTGCTTTAAGGAGCAATCTCAGCTCAAAGCATATCCATACTGGTTAATATTTGAGTCTAGGACAAAGAAGCAATATTCAAAAGCAAAAATGGGCCAGAGTTTTCACACTTCTTTTGTGGAATTCCACAGAGACTGTTACCTTGGTGGAATCCCTGCCTTGATCCAGTTTCTAAGCTTTCCCAGATTAAGTGCTCTCTTCTGGTTACATACCATCTGGTTTTCTCCAACTACAAGTTTCATAAACAACATAAAATAAAGGTGGATTTCATATGACCAGAGAATGCCAGACCTTGCCTTCTCGTGCTGCCTTCTCAGTAGAGAGGAAACCTCTACTAGGTGCCCTTTGACCAAGTAATTCCCTTTTTAAGATTATTTTTTTAAGAAGATAATAATATATTGAGCAAAGATTAACCATAAGACATGAATCATAGTAGTGCTTTTACGGGGAAATAATTAGAAAAGAAAATTTTGTTCAAAAAATAGAGAAATCAGTTAATTATGCTATGACATATCTGTGTTAAATATAATGTTATCCATATATTAAAATGATTATATAAGATATTTAATAAACAGAAAATTTTAACTGATTCTGATAGCGAGGAATCAGATTCAAAAACTGTATCTTTTGGAATACTGTTATGACATGGTCATCTTACTCATATCCATTCTAGCCCTTCTTCACTAGGTTATTGCCATGTGATTTGTCCAGAATTTGCCCTAGTTTCAGTTCTAGGAGTCAGCATGGTTGGGTTAAGCCAATTATCTGAATATAACAAGGTCTAAGCTAATCAGCTCATCTATATTCCTCTAATTACAGTGGTTGGTTCTTATTTGGCCAAATCTGAAATTTGGCCAAATAATAATAATAATAATGGCACCTCTGGAATCACTTATAGAAGTTGTGAGCTGGACTACCGTCCCCCTCTATTAAAAAGCAGTATGATTACCTCTGCTCACCATCCCACTGCAATGCAGAAAACGAGTCTGAGGTTAAAGCATAGTTGGGAATAACAGAGAAATGAATTTGAAGCCTTGTTCAAACAGTGCCCAGAGCCTGTACCTCTAGATGTTTTCAGTTATAGGACCAATAAATCTCATTTATTAACTTTTCTGGTGCAATCTTTGTTTTCTGTACTTGCAACTCAAAGCATTATAACAAGTATATGTCCTAATTCTGTCAAAATGTATATATTACAAATCTATACAATAAAACATCAGTACTAGTTGTCTCTTTGAATTATCATTACTAGTAATTTTTCTCTGCTTTGTGCTTCTCTGTAATTCTAGATTTTCTATTATATATATTTTTTTCAGAAAAATGCAGATATGATGATAACAGAGTCACCATAATACTCATCAGCTAGGCCATAACTGTTAGATTTTTAATTTCAGGTGGTGACAAACCAAATGAAATAACTCCTCAAGTAAAAGCTAATTTATTGTGTTATTTTAACCTTTCAGAGGTAGAAATACAAAGCTCTTAATTCTAAAAATCTCATTAAAGTTTCAATAAAGGTTATTAAATTTAAAAAAATCTTATTAATTCAAATCCATGGATATGAATAGTTACATCAGGAAAAATTGGTTTTAGGTGTACTGAGAGAGGGAGGCTGTATGTGGCATGGTAGGAAAACAGTGGGTTTGGAATCCCTTCTCTGTCATTTCCTGGCTATTTGTCCTCAGACAATTACTCCATCTCTCTGAACCTTAGTTACTTCAGCCAAGAAACTACAAAGTTGGGCTAAACATTATCTACAATCTTCCCATCTGTGAAAGTCTAGGTTTCTATGAATTGTCCTAAATTATGCTTTATGTTTGAAGAGAATAACTCACTGCCTGCTTTGGCAAGTATAAGTAGGTTTTGACTCATTGTAACATTGAGTGTTAGAGATTGTCTGCCCAAGGGTGATAAGAAGTCTTCTCAGGGTTCAGATGGACTCAGCATGAATAAGAACTGTGATCTAGTAATGACATTGATGTGTGTTTGAATCATCAGTCTGGTTCATAGACACATTTTATAATGCCCCCTGATTATTTATTTCTTGTAGCCAAGTGTTCAGAGTCTTTTATAAGTGAAATAATGGGGAAAGTCTTGCATGAAGGTCTATTTGCTTCTTTTCTGATAGTCCTTGGATACCTCTTAATCACCAGTTGGTATGGGCTGGATAGAAGCTCAGCTAAATAAAATTGAAACTTATAGTAACTGTGAACTCAGAAGGAAATTTCTTACTTGTTTCTTAACACTTGAGATTTCTTGTGGGGAGAGCTGTGAAGGATAACCTCCCAGCTAGTTAGGAAATGTCCTAGTAGCAGTACTGAGAATGGGTAGTGCTGTCAGTGAGGTGTTTGTTTGTAACAACGTTCACTTCTTGCTCCTGTCAAACTCGTCCATAGTGTGGAACTCCAACAGAAACCTGTGAATGAAGATCAGTGTCCTGGAGAAAGGCCAGTGGAGCCAGAGCCAGGAGGCATCTGTCACTGCCATAGCAACTCCAAGGCCACAGAGAACAGAGCAAATGAGCAAGTGCACGCCAAGTGGAAACTCTGTGCTGCATCAGGGATGTGCTTTATTTTCATGATCGCAGAGGTTGTGGGTGAGTACTGCCCAAGAAAACTTTTCCAATTAAACAAGCAAACAAACAAAACCCTGCACCATTGTGGGAGGGCTACCTAAGTTCTTTAAAAGTAAGATTTAATATTTTCTGTATGCATAAAATAACAATATGTTCATTGTACATAAACTGGAAAAATAGAAGAAAGAACAAAATTCATTACCATCCCACACTTGAGCGATAACCTCCAATGACATTATGGAATATTTTGTACAATATATTTTCTATGCATAGCTCAGAGGTTTTTTCTTTTACATAATTAAGAGCACAGTGAATGCTTTTGACCAGAGTTAAGAACTATTCAAGACAGTTTTTAATGTTCAAAAACATTTTTATGCCTGAATAATATTCTATAATATGCCTCTCTGTAATTTACATTACCATTTCTCTATTGTTAGAGATTTAGGGAGAGTTTTTCCTGCTTGTGGAAAATGCCACAATGAAAAAATTTGAATAAAGCTCTGCCTGCATTTCTGGTTAATCCCTTCAAAGAGATTTCTAAAAGCAGAAATAATTGTTTGAAGGACATGAATATTTTTCTTACTTCTTGATTCGTATTGCCAAACTGCTGTCCAGAAAACTGAAACGATTCATAGGTCTGCCAGTTCTAGAAGGAAATGATTCTCCTTCCAAATCTTTACCATAATGCATTTTAGACTTCTAAAAATCTTTGTTAATGTACAGACAAATACTTTATTTGATTCTTTGTCATTATTAGAATATTTTTGCACGCTTGTTAGTGATATGTATTTTCCTCTGTTCTGCACCATCTCCTTCCTTCTTAATGTCTATTGTTCACTTGATTTTAGAACTTCTTACAATCCTCTATATTTGTCTGGGAACTCTTTATATATTAGAATGTTAAACCTTCCATATAGTAGTTATAATTATTTTGTAGCTTGTTTACCTTTTAGTATTTGTTTTGACTTTGAGAAGTTTTAAATTTTAAAGAAGTAACTGTATAAAACTTTTCATTTTGATCAGATTTATTTTACTATTCTTTAACAATCCTCCCATCCTCTACTGGGAAGATAAGTACCTTTTAAAGTTGCTTGAATTTTTGAATTTAATTTTAACATCAGTGTGAAATTAGATACAGTGCATGCTCTAAGGATTGAAAATTCTTTCTCTAAATAGCTAGCCAACTTTTCAGCATCATTTGTGACATAATTTCCCCATTGATATTTGATATACTTTTTTCACCTGTCAAACTTCTATAAGTAGTAAAATCAGTTATGGTGCCTCATTGATTTGAGTTCCTACTCTTTGTCAGCCACACAATTAATATTGTTTTATGTATTGTAACATCTGTCATCTTCTCTTTATTTAACAGAGGAAGGTAAAGGCTACTTATTTCTGTCTGTTATCCCACTTAGACATGAGATCACTCTGCTCAGCTCTCTCTCAATCTAATTATGATTTTGTAAGTATATAAGGTAATTTGGGAATATAAATCCTTATTAATAATTGAAACTTAACTAGTTTATTTCTTTTGGTAGTGGTTTTCAAGATTTTTGAATCAAAATTTTTTGTGCTAACTTGGAAAACTTAGTTTCAATAATTTTCTTACAATAAAGAAACTAAACAGTTTATAAGACACTGTAATTTCCTTTTTAGAGAATACTCTGGGGTTCTGGTTTTAGAAACATTTTTGTAGATAAGTTTTTGATCTCTCTCTATCTCTTAGTTCTCTCCCAGTATGTGTGTATACATATGTGTATATTCTACCTCATTCATTGATCTATCCCAAATTTCTACTTCTTGAGTAAATTTTGACTATTTATATTTTTACAAAGCCACCCATCATATTGAAATTTTCAAATTTATTGTCATATCAGAGAACATGATAGATTAATTTTGGAATTTACTCAGCCCAAAGGTTTTGGTATGCAATGTTATCTTATTTTTCCTCAATATAAAAAACAAGTATTGTAGGCTACCTGATGTATAGAATTATGATCTCTGTGACCACTGTTATCTGCATACTCTATTTCCAGTATATTGATGGCTTTCTTTTCCTTCTCTTACCTCAAAGGAGGGTTAAATTAATGATAACATGAAATAGACCCTGCTAGCATTACAATATCTAACAACCAGAATTAGTTGGTTTCTTCTAGCTATAGAGTCTTTTGGCTTATTCACTTGTATTTTGACTTCTACAGCTTTTGAAAAGCAGAAAGGAACTCAGATCCATCAAGTCCAAAACAACTTCAAGGGTGGTACCTTCTAGTAAAAATTTACAAAACTAATCAATACCATATCATTTCTAGAGCGAAGATAAGTTTTTTGAGTGAACTGACTAAATAGCTTGATGGAATTTTGAAAGAATTTGCTTTAGGCAGTTCCAGTCTAGCAAATACCCTTTGGAAATTCATAAGATTGTAGCTCATATTCAATTGCTCATTTGAGAGACTGACAAAATGGTAAGCCTAATAACAGAATCCATTTGAAAGGTGATTTGGAAAGGTGATGTTCTTTAGATGCATAGCCTTGTGCAAGCATGGCTCTGGAAAATGTATCAACTGACTTGGTACCGACACTACTTTCTTCCTTCGCATTTCCTTGAATCCATATGGATGCTGAGATGGATGGCACCTTCTCCCCAACTAATGTCTAATTGGCAGTGTGAAATGATATTGATTGCCTCACTGGTGGTGAGAACAGGTAAAATCTACTCTGAGCAACTTTCAAGAATACAATACATAGTTATATAGTCACCATCTTTTACAGTAGATATTTTGAACTTATATCCCCTATCTAATTGAAATTTTCTGTCCTTTGACCAGCATCTCCCCAACTCTTCCTTCTCCCCAGACTCTGGTAACCACCATTATACACTCTCTTTCTCGGGTTTTAACATTTTTAGATTCCACATTTAAGTGAGATAATGCACCATTTTTCTTTCTGTGCCTGTGTTATTTTATTGATAGGAAGTCCTATAGTTTTCATCCATGTTGTTGAAAATGACGGAATTTCCAGATTTTTATGACTGAATAGTATCACATTATACATATATTATACATCTATCTACATATACACATACATGCATATATTTGTATATAACATTTTCTTTATTCATTCATCCATAGATGCTTAGATTCTTTATCTATTATGAATAATAATGTTGTAATGAACACAGAAATATAGATGTCTCTTTGACATATTGATTTCATCTCCTTTGGCTATATGCCCATAAGTGGGATTGCTGGATCATATGTGAGTTCTATTTTCAATTTTTTTGTAATCTCCATGTTATTTTCCATAATACTGCACTGATCTACACTCCCACCTACAGTGTGCAAGGGTTCCCTTTTCTCAACATCCTTGCCAATGTGTGTTACCTTTTGGCTAGCCATTTTAACAAGTGTGAGGTGATGTTTACTGATTTTCATTTGCATTTTTACTCACATTTCTTGATGGCTAGTTATGGTAAAATATTTCCATGTACCTGTGGGCCATTTGTATGGTTTCTTTTAAGAAATACCTATAAAAATACTAAGCTGAAATAATATAGTCCTGGAGCTTCCAGAGGCCCACCTTTGTCATGGAAGAGGAGGAAATCTGTCTTCCTTAAGGCAATTAATACCAACAGCCAGAGACAAAGCAGAGCCCTGACAACATTTTTTTGGAATTTAGGATTAGGCTATACCTCCTCCAATCTTACTCAGATCTGTTCTCAGTTATGTGAGCCAATAAATTATAATCTTCCTGTTGTGAGCTAGTTTATGTTAAGCATAAATAACTTAAAACTGAAAAAGCTTACTAAGGCAGTGATCAGTGGGGTGTGTAACAGAATGATAGTTGGGGAGTCAAGAAGCCTTAAGACCCCTGGGGAGTCTAATTCATTCTATAGATCTTGTGGAGCAATTGACATTTTTCTCCTTCTGTTTTATTAATTTTATATTTACTTACATATGTATATATTGTTTGTGCCACCTCCCCCTGTTCCCCCAACCCCCTCCCCAATCCCTTGCTTCCAGGCAAGGAAGCTCAGAAAAATAGCTCAAGTATGTCCATTTGCTGGAAGCAATTGTGAGTGGTCAGGGTGAGGCTTCTCAAGCAGGCTTATTCAGCACCAAATAAGGATTGAGGAAAGATGAGGTTGCTAGACAGAAATACTGAGCTGAGAGCAGGCTTGGGAACCTAAGTATCTGAGATGAGAGCAAAAACCTTCTTTCTTTCTAAGAGAAACATAGAGCAGGGTGATGTGATACCCACACATTCATAAGGGTACTTGCTCTGTTCTGTAGAGTGTCTATCAGAGTGTCTCAGTGACACAGCCACAAATATTTTTTGAGGTTCCTGGTATTAAAAACTTAAGAGTGTCAAAACGTGGCTATGAAAACTATGGTGTTGTTCAAATACTTGTTAGATAATAATTCAAGCTTTTAACATATCATGTTATATTGTACACTATAATAAAATACTATCCAAAAGATAACTAGTTTTTAAAATGTGAATCAATAGCACACAATGTACTTAGTAATGGACACAAGACTAATGTTCTCAGATGAAATGGTATTTTTTCAATCCTGTCATATATCTGTTCTGCATGGAAAATGTCATGGGGACATAATGCCAATGATCTAAATTTGAGGTCGTTTGTGAATGAGACCTAGACCCAATTCTTTTCTGTCACCCCATGGGCCTACATAGAGTCTACTCTCACTCCTGAGTCTATCTGTGCTCTGCACATCTTGCCAAATATTCCAGAAATACCACTACTACTACCTTAGCTCATGCCTTTACCATAATTTCCATTATTATTGTTGCAACATTTTAGCCATCTGCTTCTCCTCCCTCCAAGTCACCCTCCATATTGCTGGCAAAGACCTCTCACAAATCTGAACGCAACCAAATTTGGCTAAAAATAACTAGATCTCTTTACCCCACAAGATAACATTCAACTTCCTTGAATGTTAGAATGCCCATACATATTTCCCCAATGTGTCTTTCCAGTCTCATATCTCATTATTCCTCTGATTCTGTACACATCCTGTTTTTCCAAAAAGGTGCCACATTCTTCCATATCTGTATCTTTGTCTATGCTCTTACTTCTTCATAAAAAATCCTTTTCTTCTTGCTAATTCTTACTACTTTCTTCTTTGAAAAGCTCCTCAATGCCCCCAGGGCTCTCTGATCCCTAACCCAGGTCTTCAGTTGCAATGAGAATTAAATCACTGAAAAGTGGGACTGATTTGTTTAGCTTTGTGTATCCTGTCCCTGGTACCATGCACAGTAAGGGCTCAATAAATACTGACTAGATGATTGAATTAATTGTCAATAATACCCTGTGCATTCAGAAGCAAATATAAGTGTAACCACAAACCACTTCTTGCAAGCAATTTGCTCTATGGCAATTTGTTAGGCCCCACAATTTTCTGGATGGCACTTAATACCAGCTCTGATGGTTGCAAATTGATTCTGGGATCCCAGGCTTTCCTATCAGCATGCTTCTTCTAAAGCAAACCCTATTTTTTCTCCGTTACCTCCCAACTCAGCTGAGACTGTTGAAGAATTCCTATAACGCTTTCTTTCCTTGACTTAGCCACATTTTCAGTGGAGAACACAGACTCCTCATCACTCACTGCTGAGGTTGCAGCATGCTGCTTATCTGTATGTAGTCATTCTCCAGACGAGCAATAATGCATTATTAACACAGCTTTATTATCAGGACTGAGTTTGGCAGATAGAGCAACATTAGAGGATAATTGGAAGGACAGCTGATTTGTTAGCAAAATGTTGCCTTTTGGTTAATGAATCATTCCGATTTTTGCACTGACAGCTCAGTAACAAGCTTGAAGACTACTTTGCTTCAGACCATTAAACTTTGACAAACCCGTTATTAATTACAGCTAGAGCCAACGGTCTGTGGGGATTATTGCAATTATGAGCCTTCTATGTAATTTTTTTAAATCATTAGGTGAGACAAGGTGAGTCTGATGATGGAGAGGCTGGTGATTGACAGTTTCTGTCGCTCTATAGTACACAAGGCAATAAACAGCTGCAGGAAGGACTAATCAGTCAGCAGAAACTCTTTGTGGGAAGATGTAGTAAGAACAATAAAGGTTATTGCTCTCAAACAGCAAGCCCTGCTAAGAAAAGAAGAGACAAGGTTTTTCTTTAATTTCTATTTCTGAAGCTGGGGGTCTTCAAAGGAGAATTGGAAGGAAGATGATGGAGCACACCAAATGGACAGAAAAGCAAAGCAGGGCTCATGTGGCTTGGGTTCTATTCCTATCTTTATTGGATTGTTGTTCCACTCAAAATGCCCTTTGGAAGGTGCCTTCCATTTTTCCTTTCTGCTCTCCATTATTTATAGCAGGGATTTCAAAGTCAGGAGCATAACATAAATCAATAGAGCAAAAGGAAGCAGTGTAGACTATGCTAAAATCGCAAGTGAAATGATAACATATCTGGTTTATAGACAGAGTTCAGGTCCTCAGCCTGGATTTAGAGACCCTTTGAATCTGGTCTACTCCTCTCCACTTTATCTTATATTGCCCTTTTCTGAATCCTTATCCCCAGTCTAACTGGGATTCCTTCATATGTGCACCACACTTCCCAATCTCTCTACCTTTGTTCCCCTAGGAATAGTCTCTCCCTTGGAAGTGTATTTTACATGCTCAGATCCTATACACTTTTTGGGTCTGTTTATTTGTCAAATTGGGAAGAAAAGGGGGATTAAATCAACTTTAAGAACATGTTCTCGAAATAGCAGCCTCTTCAAAAAAAAACTGCTGGGAAAACTGGTTTGCAGTCTGCAAAAAACTGAAACTAGATCCATGTATATCACCCTATACCAAGATTAACTCAAAATGGATCAAGGATCTTAATATCAGACCACAAACTCTAATGTTGATACAGGAAAGAGTAGGAAATACTCTGGAGTTAGTAGGTATAGGTAAGAACTTTCTCAACGAAACCCCAGCAGCACAGCAACTAAGAGACAGCATAGATAAATGGGACCTCATAAAGCTAAAAAGCTTCTGTTCATCAAAAGAAATGGTCTCTAAACTGAAGAGAACACCCACAGAGTGGGAGAAAATATTTGCCAGCTATACATCAGACAAAGGACTGATAACCAGAATATACAGGGAACTTAAAAAACTAAATTCTCCCAAAACTAATGAACCAATAAAGAAATGGGCAAGTGAACTAAACAGAACTTTCTCAAAAGAAGAAATTCAAATGGCCAAAAAATGCATGAAAAAATGCTCACCATCTCTAGCAATAAAGGAAATGCAAATTAAAACCACACTAAGATTCCACCTCACCCCTGTTAGAATAGCCATCATCAGTAACACCACCAACAACAGGTGTTGGCAAGGATTTGGGAAAAAAGGAACCCTCTTACACTGTTGGTGGGAATGTAAACTAGTACAACCACTCTGGAAAAAAATTTGGAGGCTACTTAAAAAGCTAGACATTGATCTACCATTTGATCCAGCAATACCACTCTTGGGGATATACCCAGAAGACTGTGACACAGGTTACTCCAGAGGCACCTGCACACCCATGTTTATTGCAGCACTATTCACACTAGCCAAGTTATGGAAACAGCCAAGATGCCCCACCACTGACGAATGGATTAAGAAAATGTAGTATCTATACACAATGGAATTTTATGCAGCCATGAAGAAGAACAATGTTATCATTCCCTGGTAAATGGATGGAATTGGAGAACATCATTCTGAGTGAAGTTGGCCTGGCCCAAAAGGCCAAAAATCGTATGTTCTCTCTCATATGTGGACATTAGATCAAGGGCAAACACAACAATGGGATTGGACTTTGAGCACATGATAAAAGCGAGAGCACACAAGTGAGGGGTGAGGATAGGTAAGACTAGCTAGCATTTGTTGCCCTTAATGCAGAGAAACTAAAGCAGATACCTTAAAAGCAACTGAGGCCAATAGGAGAAGGGGACACGGAACTAGAGAAAAGGTTAGATCAAAAAGAATTTACCTAGAAGGTAACACACATGCACAGGAAATCAATGTGAGTCAATGTCCTGTATAGCTATCCTTATCTCAACCAGCAAAAACCCTTGTTCCTTCCTATTATTGCTTATACTCTCTCTACAACAAAATTAGAAATAAGGGCAAAATAGTTTCTGCTGGGTATTGAGGGGGTGGGGGGGAGAGGGAGGGGGTGGAGTGGGTGGTAAGGGAGGGGGTGGGGGCAGGGGGGAGAAATGACCCATGCCTTGTACGCACATATGAATAATAAAACAATAAAAAAAAAGAACATGTTCTCTTCTAAAGTTACAGGAGTCTATAGTAACTATACTTAATATGCATAGAATCTAGTTGCATTCTGGGTCCTCAACCCAATGTAATATTTTGTATCCTTAGGTGGTCACATTGCTGGGAGTCTTGCTGTCATCACTGATGCTGCTCATCTCCTAATTGACCTGACCAGTTTCCTGCTCAGTCTTTTTTCCTTGTGGTTGTCATCGAGGCCCCCATCAAAACGTCTAACGTTTGGGTGGCACCGAGCAGGTATAGTCCATCAATCAAACAATAACATCAGAGTAGTACTGCGGAGTCAATTCAAGGGTAAAATGGAAGGTTAAGAGAAAAGTCTTGATAGAAATTCTCTTAGAGGCACAACTCTGGTGCAAACGGGAATGTGTGTTCTCAATATTAATTCAGCTGACAACCAGATTAATGGGCACTACCTCCTCTCCTATGGGACAATAGTAGACGCCCCATTTCCAAGGTCTAAGTGTGTGGGAACAGACATTATGTCACTCAATAATTACTCTGGAAGAGAGGATTAAGGTAAATCTTCTGCTGTATTACAAAGTAAGGCTCACACAGTCCAAGGAAATTGCAGAAATTGGAGCATTTCTCACTGGGGCGTTGGGAATAGAATATGGGCTTTCCTACTTACATACAATAGTTAGCTAGTCATATGGTTTGAATGTTGCTTCAAAAATTCATGTTGAAATTAAATGCCATTGTGATGGCATTAGGATGTGGCACCTCCAAGAGTTGATAAAAAAGGATGAGCTCAGCTCATTTTCCTCTTCCTGACTCATGTTCGCTTTCTTGCATTTCCACCACGTTGTGATTTGGCATGCAGTCCTTGCCAGCTGCTGACACCTTGGTTTTGGACTTCCGAGCCACAACAACTGTGATAAATAAATTTCTTTTCTTTGTAAATTTCCTGGCCTATAGTTTTCTGTTACAGCAGCAGAAAATGCACAAGACAACCATTCAGTGAATGGATGGCTCAGCTGAATACTTGGTCAATTAATCATCAAGTATAACAAAGAAAGACGAGGAAGAGAAGCATGAGGAGGACAAGGGAATGAAATTCCATTTTTTTCGCTGTCTTAAAGCTATTTCTTTCACTAAGTAACTGCTTGCTCTTGTCTAAGAAGTGGCTCAGGTCATAATAAGGGTAATTTTTTTTTTACTTTAGCTCATTTTTTTTTTTATAATTCCCTCTCTCCCCCGATTACATACACATGATGCAATTCCATTTCTCTACCAGCTGGGGGAGCTTCTGTCTATATCTTTTGTGCAAAACATGAGAACTAACAGTTATAGTTCAATGTCTTCACACTGTTTGAGAAATTGATGTAAAGGAGATCAGAGGGAAGAGCACTGGCAGCTCACATGGCCAGCCTTCACTGGACACAAACCACAGCTTGTAGACCAACAGTGTGGACTACAAGCTTTCAAGTGTAGAATGAGAGGAGGTTCCAAATTCATACTAAACATTTTCTTATCCAAGGTATTTTGTATTGCCTTCCCTTTAACATTCAGGAAGAGATGAGGCAACAAAGGGCAATAAGGAGAGTTTATGACTGTCATCTGAGAGTGCTTTTACCAGTCCCTGAGCAGAGCTACACTTGAAAGTCATATGCCTTTGATTGAGCACACATCATTTGTCTGTATATACTTTTACTTTCACTTGACCCTTTCTGATATTTTTAGTCAGAGTTGTTTTATAAATGCACAACGATTTATAAACACAGTGTGGACTCAGAATTTAGAACATTGCTTATACTATGTCACCCTAGCCATGAGCATTGCTATTCCAGATCAAGGGTATTTAATAGAACTCTCGGGTATGAGGTAAAACAGTCCATAATACAGTGTCTGATAGGAATATTGAGAAATTTAAATGTGGTTGAGTGCCACTGAAGAACAATATTTTTTATTTTACTTAATTTCTATTTAAATAGCCACACATGATTGGTGGCTGCTCTTTTTAAACAGCACTACTGTAGACAAGGTGAACCTAGTACACTCACAGACTGATCTGACCAACCTGATGGCCTTGCCAACCTAACAGTTTTCTTAGCAATCATGGCAGCACTTGTCCGTGGTTCCTTCTGTATTTCCCTTCTAAAGAGTTACTTTTGCATACCTGTACTATATTTGATCTGACTACTGACTCTTGCACTTGGTTTGGTTTTTATCTTCTTAGCTCTTGTCTCACTACACCCATCTAATTATGGGTTTAGAATGGTGAATGCTCTACTTGTATTTCTTGATTTGGATTTGTTTTCTAGCTAACCATAAATTCTTCACTCTTGTCCTCATTATTCTAGTCTGACCACACTAATAAACTCAACAAATATTTCTTGGGTGTTTTCTATATGTCGTATTAGTTTCCTAAAGCTTCTAAAGCTGCTTTAGCAAAATACTTCAAACTGGATGGCTCACAAAGAAATGTATTATCTCACAGTCCTAGAACACAGAAGTCCAAGATCAAGGCATCTGCAAGATTTGGTCCCTTCTGACGTCTATGAGGGAAGATTTTATTCCTTGCTTCTCTCCTAGTTTATTGGTTTACTAGCATTTTTTTGTCCCTTGGTTTATAGATCTCTGCTCTAATGTTTGCATGGCATTCTCCTTGTGTGCATGTCTATGTCCAGATTTCTTCTCAGAATAAGTACACCAGTCATATAGGATTATGGGATCTCCTTATTACAATATGACCTCATCTTAACTAATTATATATGCAAGGACCCTATTTTCAATTAAGGTCACTACATGAAGTACCACTGTTAGCACTTCAATGTGAATTCTGGAGGGATAAAATTCAACCCAACTTGTTGTATATCTTTGTACTATATAGGTATATGTAATATATGTTACACCTACATTGTAGATAAAGAAGCTCAGGCTTACATAGGGTAAGTTGCTCAGGTAAAGTCATATAGCCAGTCACTGGCAGAACACATATGTCTGATGCTTGAATTCACATCCTAAACATCTACACAGGCATTTCTTATAGTGTGAGAAATGTTCCACAGATGGATAGTCAGATGATTTTTAGTGTCACATAGACAATAATTACACAATCTAGTATGTATTTGAAAATAAACAAGCACATCGAAATTGTAATTTCATAGATAACTTTGTTTAGGAAGAAGCCAAGTATAAAGAGTGAATTTATTGAAGAAAATGTGAAGTGGCTAAGACAGATGGCATGTGAATATGGCAAAAATCATAAAGTGTACATAAGCAACTAAAGTCTGAAAAGCAGTAGTCACACAGTAGGCAATAATACAGTGCTTTGCTTTAAATGAAACTAATCTGGGAATAGTTTAAAGGTGGTAAGGATAAAAATATGGCATATGACTGACCAGTGACTCACAGAATGTTTCTAGACCCATGTAGGTTTTTAGAATCCACCTACAAAGGTAGAGTTAAAGATCAGGATGAGGCATTAAAAAATGCCTAAGTGAGCAAAGTTTACTTTCCTCAATGGGTGGATTGAACACTGTCTTCTCTTCAGATATTAATGCAAATGTCTCCATTCTGTGCATATTTTCCTTTCTGCTGCTCTTAAAAGACAGAGTGTTGATAAGCCCGAGATTTTTGTCTGTGTTTATAATATGCTGCGTTGGCAAATAAATTCATTTTCATCAAGTACCCTGTGATGCCTTCATTTTTACTATTTTATCCCACTAAAGGTGCTGGTACTGTCAAGTTGTAAATGTTTTATGGGGAAATTAAGAGTTTCTAAACACATTTTACTCATTGTACCTCATTATTTCACCTCCTATTAAGTTTTGATCATTTTAGCACCTGTTTAAATTAAATTCCCCAAGGAAAATAGTAAGAGCAGGCAGCAATTAATCTGTTCTAAAAATCTGTTGGAAATTACTTAGAAATAGAGAGCATGATGAACTCAGACACAGGTGTTTTATGAATGCAGCATTAAAGTGCCTCATTTAGTTTTCAAATCCATCCACACTTTTGCTTTGTGAATCACTGAATAAGCTGGTTTGAAGTTTCTTTTTCTGGGGGAAAGGTGAAGAGTGTTATGACTCTTGTATGGGGAGTAGGTGAAGCATGGGTTTTTTTTGCTTGTGACAGTCTTTGCACATTTGAATCCCTAGAGATCCTTGGTGCCCTGCTGTCGGTCCTTTGCATCTGGGTGGTGACTGGTGTGCTGGTGTACCTGGCATGTGAGCGTCTGCTGTACCCTGATTACCAGATTCAGGCAACCGTCATGATTATCATCTCTGGCTGTGCAGTAGTGGCCAATGTTGTGTAAGTCACCCCTACACTAAGTGCCCATTTGGCTTATCTTCATGCCTGTAAAGACAAGGATATATATCCTATACTTGTGAAGATGCTAAAGATCAAACACAGTGTTGGAGTGAGGGTCTAGAGACCAATAAGTCTGGTCACCCATATTAAAGGATTTTAAAATATTGGCTTTTACTAGCTGAAAGCTTTCAATGTACCAGAAACTGGGCTAAGATCCTTTGACATACACTAACAAGTTGAATGTTCATAACACTCCAATTTCTCAGAATAGGAAACTGTACTGATAAAATTAAATATAGATCCAGGATTTGAATCTAGACCAAAGACTTACAATTGAGCTCCTGGCTCATCTGCTGTCTCATACATGTTGATGGCTCCATATGGGATGTGACTCTTTTCCTTTCAAGTAGATTATGGGTTCTCAGAGTGCTGAATTGGAAGGGATCTTAAAGTTTATTTACTCCAGTCCCCTTTTACTTTTGAATTCTTTTTGCAATATCCCCATAAGATGATCATTTGTTTTATATATTTTAATAGATCTAAAATCAGGGAATTTATTTCCCTCCAAGTCTACTTTATCTTTGCGTCATTGGGAATGCATGAAAATTCTTCCTTAAGTTGGGTTAAACACTTTCTTTAATTTTTGCCTGTTGGTCCATTTTCTTATATAGACAGTCTTAAATCAATCTTGTAGGAAATGGTAATTGAAAATTCCTTCTCATACATGTTTGTTTTTCTCCAAATGAACTACTCTATTGTTCATGACAATGACGTTGGTGAGGCCAGGGCTTTGATGCTTTGGGGTCCATTTCCTCCTTCCTATTTGATGATCCAATTCTTGGCAGTCTTACTTAAAACTACATTGATCTACTATCTATATATTCAGTTACCTACCTATCATCTGTAATACACAGAAGCATGACACTCCAAAGATTTACACATCCTAATCCTTAGAACCTCTGGATATATTAATTTCAATGGTAGCAGGAACTTTGCAGATATGATTAAAGATTTTAGGAAAAGGAAACTTTGCTGGGTTTTCTAGGTAGCCACAAGTAGCCACAAGTGTCCTGAAAAGTGGAAGGCAGGAGGTCAGAAAGGAGAAAAGATGCCATGCTGCTGGCCTTAAATGTAGAGGAAGGTGCTGGGAGCAACAGATTGAAAAATGTCTTTGGAAGTTGGAAACAAGAAAATAAGTCCCTCCCAACCAGGGCTTCTAGAAAGAATGCAGTCCTGCAAATTCACTTTATATTTCTTGGCACCAGAACTGGGAGATAATAAACTTGTGTTGTTTTAAGCCACTAAGGCTTTGTGGCATCTTGTTACAGCAGTAATGCAAAACTCATATACAGGTTGAGCATCCCTCATTTGAAAACCTGAGATCTAAGATGGTCTGAAATCAGATAGTTTTTGAGCACCAATGTGATGCTCAAAGTTTTGGATTTTGGAACATTTTAAAGTTTAGATTTTCAGATTAGGGATGCTCAACTAGTAAAGTCTATGTAAATATTCCCAAATTTTAGAAAAAAAACTAAAAAATCTGAAACATTTCTGGCACCAACACTTCAGATAAGGGATACTCTATCCCTATAATCTAACATCTACCTATCTTGCAATGAAGCTGGATACATGATATGAGGTAGGTTTCTACATGACTGTGAAGAGGTCAGTGATAAACAGTGCTTTAAACAGTGGATTTTAAGAAAGGGCATAATGGAGTCAGTGCAGTTAGAGGATAAACTGGCATGAACAGCTTGAAGATGTTTTTTCAGGTCACTCTAAGAGTCTTGACATCTCAGTTCCTCATCTCTCAGTTTGTGGATTATTGCTCAAAATCTCTGAGTTAAACTTAAAAGAATGATGTTTGATCTGCTGTCACTAACTAGATCCTATCTCCTACCAGTTAACTTGAAACTGGTCTTCACATTGGCACTGTAACAAAGAGTGTGGGTTGATCAATGCAAATCTATCATCTCTAGGAGATAAATACTCAGAGCATATGTCCTGCTGACTGGGGGTCAATAACATCATCTTTGCATAAGGAGAACAATATGTCCTCAAGACAGCAGGAAGAATGAAAGTATTAATAATTTCCTGAGAGCCTATATCACATAGGTTGTGTCGATGCCACACACAGATGAAAGATTTACCTAGCCAATACTACATTAATCTGGAATCTTAATGATGCAGCTTGCCTTTCCAAACAGATCTCATCCAAATTTTCTTTTTAGTGCAACTACTTTTGAACATTGACCTTAATATTGCAAGTACTTTTTAAACTTAGAGAGGCAACAGAATCAACAAGCTCTGCCTTTCCTATTTATGCAGATATTTATGGGTAAAAGTTTCCTCCAAGAGCTGAGATTGCAGGTTTCATGTACTGCTAGATACTGTTCAGTCTGAATGTAGAGATATCAGAAGTGCAATTTGGGAATAAATCTACTTCTTGAAGCTCCAAAATCAAGACAGAAAGTTCCAGCAGAAGTTATGAAGGGATTCTGTGATGAAGGTTGTAGACAGACCCTTAAGGCTATTGCAGGTTAATTTTTTTTTCCTGCCTGGCACATTACTTCCCCCAGCCTATTTAACTCTAGCATAATCTATTGAATACAGTTCAGTTGCTATAGCTCCCTAACTAAGTCAGACTCTGTTGTTACTATCCATAGTATCAGTTCTCAGTGGATACTTAAAATTAGAAGTTTCCGTGTGTGTGTGTGTGTGTGTGTGTGTGTGTGTGAGATCCTTGCTGTCTGCATCACAAAGTTACTGTGAGCTGTACATCTATTTTCACTCACTTTATAGTCTAAGCATTTCACAGTACCTGGCATTTGAGTTCCCTAGTAAATTTTTTCCCTTTTTTAAACAAAACCAGTAAAGGAATGAGTGACAAGAGGTTCTATTAACTGTCAGCCATATCAGGATATTAGCATTAGAGAACCTTGAATAATAACTCACATTTGAGGGTGAATTTCAAACCTGAAAACTGTGTTCTCTGAACTGATCGAATCTTGGTAGAGAGCAGTCGTTTTACTTCTTGGAGATGACCTGAAGTTTAACAGAAACTTTACCTACAAAAAGACACATGGTATCAAAAATAATAAGTCTTGTTCTTTTTAAGTTTTTATTTGTTTGTTTATTTAGTTATTTATTTTTGGCAGTGGAAATTGATCCCCAGGTTTTATACATGCTAGGCAAGCTCTCTATTGCTTGAGCCATGCCCCCAGCATCTTTATTTGTATTTTCTTTTTGAGATAGAGAATCACTAACTTTGCACAATCTGGCCTTGAACTGCTTCTTCCTTCTGCCTCCCAAGTAGCTGGGACTATAAGGTGTGTAACACCTGACACATGTGGTCTGTCTCTCTCTTTCTTTTTTTTTTTTTTTTGAAAGTTTTGTTTCAAAATGTTCAGAAAAGAGTTTTAGGGAAAACATTCCTTACTGGCCACCAATGAAATAGTTCTCATTTTACCTTTGGTCTAATCCCTCTTAAACTTGTAGCCAAATTGAACCAGGTACATAAATTACAGTCCCCACTATTTTATCACTTTGTCTTGGAAAGAGATTACATATTCTAGTACTTATATAATGCACTGATGTATTTCTGTCTCTGGATAAATAAGTACATATACATATCCACAGTGCTCTCATCATTGGTCATTAGGTAACTATTCAGATTTTAAATATTCATGGAAATGAACAAAATTAAGTTAAATGAAATATTTTATAAACCCAACTTTGAAAAATTCATAACTTTTTATTTCACTTTATCCCTTCCCACTGCTTTTCCTTTTAAACCAATTCATTTACTCAAGCTGTCCTAAAACTGGCCTCTAAACCTAGCTCAGAGCCTGGCATTTAGTAAATGAATGAGATTTCCCTTCTTCCTTGTCAAATGCATGACTACCGTCAAAGGAATGATGCATTCCCACCTTCTTTTTCATTATTCCATCATCATCATCATTATTTTCCATTATTTCCATCATTAATGTGAAACAAGGTAGCATTAGGTGTGTGAATGAGAAAACTGAGAAAACTTCTGTAGTTTGCTTTTGTGTGACTAATTTAAAGTTCTATGACACACTTGTGTCCAAACATTAGTTCAAACATCAGTCCAAATTGGTACATTTTTAAAGCATAAATATTTAACTTCTTGCCATGCTATTGCCAACTACATTATTTTGCTGCATAGGTTTTTTTAGGGCTAATCTTACATATGCCAAGAACAATTTTCTTTCTTTCAGATTAACTGTGATTTTGCACCAAAAACGCATTGGCCGCAATCACACAGAAGAACAAGTTAATGCCAGTGTCAAGGCAGCTTTTGTGCATGCCCTTGGAGACATATTTCAGAGCATCAGTGTGCTAATCAGTGCACTTATTATCTATTTTAAGGTAAGTGAGTTTGAATTTGTCTACCATCATCATAATTGTATGCATTAGGTTGTGTAGAAAACGATCTTCCAATATTACTAATATCAATGTTGGATGTTTACCTATACAAACTACTTTGCAAGATTAAAGCAAACACTCAAAGCCTGAAATCTTAGTCTTTGCAAAGTCCTAACAGCTATTATCTTCCAGTCTTGCAAGAATGTAGGTCCTTTTGTCTTGGGGGTAAAATGATCAGCAAGGGAACTGTAAACACCATGGAATTCTTAGGTTGTCAGCAACAGTAAAGATCTCTGGCTCACTTAAGCAAAAAACAAAATTACATTTATTGGCTGAAATTTATTGAATGTGCTCCAGGACAGAAATCAAGGTAAAAAATAAGGTAATTTTTGGTATCTAGATTTCAGAAACTATGCAATTTTTGTCCCATGGACCACACTAAAATAAATGTGTCTCAATAAATTTTTTTTCCTGTTCTTGTGACTACTGAAGATTCATATTTCTGGAAAGGAAGTCCAATTGACTTAGTTTGGACCTTGTACCTGCTGCTTAGTTGGGGAGGGTAGAACACCTGATTCAATTTTCTGCCAGTATCACTCACAATGCAGTGATGGCTTGTTTCTTTCCCTCCTCCACCAAAGCAAGGTTCAGGTGCAAAGTGGGAATGAAGATGGGCCTCTGACCCTCAACAATCAATATTAACTGTGTATCTCTATTTGATAGTATCAAGAACGAATAAGGCGGGTGGGTGTGGTAGTGGTGGTGGGGCAAAGAAGGTGAAGAACATGTAGCTCTTTCTTTTTTTGTATCATGTCCAATTTGCAGGGACTTTACTTTTTTTTATTAAAATATGAAAACATGTAAATAAAAATTGTAATGATAACTGAATTCAAGTTGACAAAATGGTCCTTGAAAGTTACAAGGCAAAAGCAGTTACAAATTATAAGGACTGCTGGAGTTTGAGAGTGCTCTTACAGAAGATTTTAAGTTGAGGCTAAATTTATAGAATGCAGGCTTTTCTGTGGCATTGAACTTTATAAAAGGCAGAATAGCAGCAGTTTCACCTTGATGTCAAGGGCATTAGGGGAGAGAGAGAACAAGAATGACACCTTGGTTTACACCATTAGAACTGTGTCAAAGACACCTGCCTAAAGTATGTGTCATACTGGAGAGGAAAAAAATAAACTAACCCCTGTCAGCCAAGACCAAGGGATAGTTGTATGTTGAGTATATGCAACCTCTGAGTAAATGATTCTTTTCTTCACCATAATAAAGGCTGAAAAGACATTGGATAGTGTGGACATAGTTTGTGCATAGTTTCATCACACACTTTGTACTTGCTTTAATTTGAGAGAAGTTAAATCAGGTCTTAGTATTAAGAACACTTAATACTATTTCAAACTTTTGTGGGTTTTTTTCATTCTTCGGTATGCATTTTATTTTATTTTTAGTTTTTTATTATCTATTATTGTTGTCCTGGGGGTACATTGTGACATTTACAAAAGTTCTTACAGTATATCATAGTTAAATTCATCCCCTTCATCATTAGCTCAGGCTGGCCTCAAACTCAGGATCTTACTGCCATTGGAGTGCTGGGATTATAAGTGTACACAGCTATGCCTGGGCACTCTTTAGTTCTTAAATTATGGGTGAGAATGTTTGATGGTGTCCATTCTTTACTCACTGGTAATCTAAAGATAAGAAGCATTGAATCTTTAGAAAGAGCATCTTGCCTTCAAGGTGGATGTCAAGTGTCAGGAGAGTGAATGGGTAACACAGAAGGAAGGAAACAGGGAGGTTCACATATTTTAGTCCTCAGGCTTTCTTGATGCAAAATATAAATTCATTTAACCAAAGTTGCTATAATTTCCAGCCAGACTACAAAATTGCTGATCCAATCTGCACGTTTATCTTTTCCATCCTGGTCTTGGCCAGCACCATTACAATCTTAAAAGACTTCTGCATCTTACTCATGGAAGGTAGGAATGATTTCATTTCATTATTATTCCTAGGAGCAAAGATTTTGTTTCCCTTCCATCACAAAAGGGGGTGACTGTGTGCTCTCTGTTAATTTGTGTTATAGAGAAAGTTTAAACTGATAGGGAATTTTTGTGAAAATACATCTTTATTTATATGGGAACAAATAAAATAACTGACTTCTGTTTAAACTTTTGGCAGCTATAAAATGATATCCCACAATGTGAAAACACTAAGTACGTATACTAAATATAACACTGGAGGGAGATATTGCAAAACTACATTTTATCTCTAAGTATATCTGTAAAAGACCTAAGAAAGACAAGAAATTCTACCTCTCAGGTAGCATTATAACTGAGTATTTGAGTCTAATTGCATCTCAGAGTACAAGAATACCAGGGTGACCTTCTATTTATTTGCCCAGAAAGCATTTACTGAGCTCTGACGCTGCTAGATGGTGTGCTTAAAGCTAAGTTACAAAGATGCACAGCGCAGAGACTAGCTTTGGCCTCATGGGGCCACACTTCAGTGAGGGAAGAGAGAAGTTATCCAGATTAGAACTGTGATTGCTTCAAAGAAGTGGTGCGGGATTTTAACATGGCTGGGAGATAGGAGCCCATGATTGGCTGAGGAAGTGATGTTTCTTTCTGGCTTCCTCTTGGTCTTGAGTAAGAACTCCTGGATTATTAACTTCATTTTCCATGACCAGAGTCTACCTCTGACTACTCTTCTGGCTTGTATGGCCCCTTGGATCTTCCAGTTAATTAGGATTTGATGACAGATTGAACCTGCATTGTGAAATTATTGGTCTGCTGTGGTGGTGCATGTTTCTAATTCCAACTGCTGTAGAGGTAAAGATAGTAAGATCATAGTTCAAGGCCAACTGTGGTAAAAGTTAGCAAGATCCTATTCTCAAAAAAAATTCTGAGCATAGTGGTACATGCCTGTAATCCCAGCTACTCAAGAGGTGGAGGTAGCATATCTCATTCTGAGACCATTATGTCAAAAGCATAAGACCCTATCTGGAAAACAAACTAAACAGCAAAATGACTGGTGGCATGGCTCAAATGAAAGCTCTTAGTTCAATCCCCAGTACTACACACACACACACAAATGAAATTCTTTCTTATGCTTTTATATGTTTTGTTTTCCCATTTTTCTTAGGATACTTTCTTTGTATGGGGGGGAGTCATTCTGATGATTCTGAATAGGCTTACATTGTACATTGATTAGATCACCTTCCACCATCCCCACCCTGCAACCCTCACTGGCCACCTCTCCTTTCTCCATTCTGCATTTTGCTGATTTTCATTTCATTTGGCAAAAAGTAGTTGAAAAACTTTTGGTTTGTGCCCTTTCCAGGCCATATCTTTATTTGCATAGTTAACTCCCAGAGACATCATAGTTGAAAAGGGGGAGTCTCTGTTTCAGACATCAGTCCAAGTTCTAGTCATGTAAGTTTCTTACTGTTGAAAGACTTTTAACTCCTCTGAACTTGAGTTTCCTCAACTCAAATCTAGGAATACTGTATCCACCTGTCAATGCTGTTGAGAGAATTCGGCATTGAGATAATCAGCTAGATCTTTAGTTGACTAGAATATAGGAAATATGAAACCAGGGTGTGGAGACAAATTCTGCACTAAATATTTATCCTCACGCCAAGAAATTCTCAGTTCTTGGCCATAGGCTTTGGCCTTCTCCCTGATGATCTTGAGAGGGCTACGTAAGAGCATCTTGATTAGAACAAACCTATCTTCATCACCAGAAAAATTATTCAGTGATAGTCAAAATGGGAGATCTACTCACTCATGATGACATTATCTTACTAGACAGGCCAAATAGCCCTTATCTAAAATGTTTGGGACCAAAGTGTCTTGAGTTGTAAATGAGTTTGAACATTTGCCTGTACATGATGGGTATCTTGGGATGAAGCCCAAATCTAAACATGAAATTTATTTATGTTTCCTGTACATCTCATACATATAATCAGAAGGCAATTATATACACTGGTTTTAGTGGATTTGTATTTTGCTTGAGACCCATTAAATGAGGTCAGATGTGGGATTTTCCGTTTGTGACATTATGTTGATGCTTTAAAAGGTTTGGAATTTGGAGCATTTCCAACTTTGGATTTTTGAATTAGGGATACTCAAACTGTATTAAAGTCTGTTAGAAACATAAGGTACTGCATTACATTTGCAGTGTTGTTTGTCATTGTAATATAGACCATTTGCAATTACCAAAAATGACATTAAATTTTCTATTACATATACCAGGAAAACAGGTATGGTGGAGGACTTGCCTAAAACCCTTGTTAGACTAAGTCAGCTGTACTCAAGTTTTGGAGGCTTTGAAATCACTTGATGGATTTGTTAAAACAGATTGCTGGACCCACCTCCATGATTCTTAGTAGGTCTTGTAGGGAATGGAGGGATAAAGGGGTGAGAATTCAAATTTCTAACAAGATGCCAATGCTGCTGGTCCAGGGACCATGCTTTAAGAACCTCTGGATTGGTCTTTTCATACTGCTTAAGGAATTCCTACCTGACAGCTCGGAAATATCACCTGGAAAACTCAACCAGAACCAGTGCTTTGCATCACATCCAAGGTCCAGAAGGTCCAGCTTATTGAACATATCCAGATGTTTGCTAAGTTTGTCTTTTTTCCCAGCACATTTGGACACAACAATAGAAACAGTCTCAGCATGCAGTTGCTGTCAGTGACACTAATGACACTAATGAATGTTCATTTAAGGATTCTGTTCTTGGTGGGCACTATAGTTATTGACAGGTGATAGTGCTGATGACAGTGAGATGGATAATGGAGTCAAACATGAGCTATCCATCAACCAAGCTGAATAATAAGTAAACTTTCTGGTTCTGAATGTGAGAATATTTGGTTTGTCAAGTCACACATATGTCTATTTTCTTTCCTAAGGGCCATGTGCTAAGCTGCAGCCATCATTGCTATTACAGGAATTATCACTTTGAAGGGAGATAAGAGATAAGTTGGTGTACATTTTAAGATGACTATATTCCACTTTTCCTGTCTTGGGTAAAGCGCTTTCCTAGCAATTTTTTTTCTTAATTTATTTAAGAAAAAGTGTAGAGACTGGTCTATCCTAGCTAATTATTGAAACTGGCGGGTGACTCTTTTCTGGAAGACACAACTTTTAAATTAGGTTTTAAAATTAAGTTAGTGTAAAAAAAAGTCCTTGTAATTAGTAAAATTTAAAAATAATACAGAAAAATATAAAACAGTAAGGCAAACTTTCTCTATATTTCCACCTTTGAATTCTCAGTCCTATTCTCAAGAATTCTTACTAATAAAAAGTTGACATATATCTTTCTAAAATAGTTATGCATTTACAAACATATATATACACATATTTACATGTGTCTTTTTAATAAAAGTGAAATTACACATTGATATCTAGTTTGTTCTGCATCTTCCTTTTTCCACTTTGTACATATTTAAACACACTGCATTGTTTTTCATAATTGTAATTACTCCACTTATTATGTATGTACTTGTTTACAGTGGACATCATAAACAGTGGAGTAATCATGTATGCATATTACATACACCTATATATGTAATCATACATATATTTTTAACACCTGTATATCTGTGGAATAATTCCTAGACCCGATATGACTATTTAAAAGTTATGTGCATTTTAAAATTGGTTAGATATTGACATGTCTATCAGATACCACACCAACTTCTTTCCCACCAACACATGTGTGAATGCTCATTTCTTAAAATGCTCACCATCACTGAGTATTATCAAAGTGATAAGTGAAACATTTTATTTTATAGCATTCATATGTAATTCCTTAATTATGAGCAATGTTAAATGGTATTTTCTATATGTATTAACCTGGGGAGTTATTTTTAATATCAATTTGGGCATTTTCCTGGATGAATTGGTATTTTTTTGTAGATTCCCCTTCAGTAAAAGAAGTTTCTAGGCCATGATGTGACATTATAAACAATGGGGACATGCCTCTTGTTTGTCAACCTTGTTTCCTAGATTAAAACAAGTAATGGTGGCATTTTGTTCATCATAAAAGCTAAGAGGTGAATGAAGCAAGAGAGCAAAAAGGTAATGGAGTCATGACTTCATTTCAAGGGTCCTAGAAAAATGGCAGCAGGTATTCAGATGACACACATTAGGCATGATAGTCAACTTTTTGATTGTAATACCTAAACTCCTGCATTTGCATGACATTTCATACATATGCATGACATATGTATGTTAGACTCTCCAGCTCTGTCACTTACCTGGGTGGTCTCAGTGATCTTTCTTAACTTCTCTAACTCCAATTTCCTCTCCCACAGTTAAATAAGAATTGTAACATTGATAACTAGTCCATAAAGTTCTTAGGACTATGGAATGAAATAGTCACAATAAGTAAAGTGTTTGGCAGAAAGATTACACATGGTAGGTCCCCAATAAAAATTTGTTATTATTTTTATTTGGGTCTGTTTTCTTTCTTTCTTTCTTTTTTTTTTTTTTACTATTTTTATTAGCTTACATTAATAGTACAAGGGTGTTTCATTGTGATAATTCCATGGAGGCATACAGTGTACTTTGAATAAGTTGAATGAAGTTATGTTGTTTGCAGGAAAATGGATAGAATTAGATGTTGAGTGAGATTTAGCTCAAAAAGCCAAATATCGCATATGGAGTCTAGACCTAAAATGATGTTAATAATAATAGTAATAATAATAATAATAATGGGACATGAATGTGAAAGGGGGACTTCTGGGGAATAGGTGGGAAGGGAATGGGGATGGGGAAAGGAAAGAATAGTAGGGGCTGAAGAGGATTAAAGTATGGTGTGTGTGTGTGTGTGTGTGTGTGTGTGTGCGAACGCACGTGTGAAGACAGCATGATAAAACCCACTGAACGCAGTTTGTAAAGGGAGAAAGAGGGGGAAGGCCAAGGGAATATAATAGAGGGTGTGAAATTGTTGTTATTATTATTGGAATGTAACAGTTTCACTTACAACTTCATACACATTCTGTGATCCATCTTAGAACTCCTGTAATCTACTTTTAGTACCCTGAGCTTTTTGGTGCTCATATAGTAAAAGAACATGTTGACCAGTTCTTTTTTACTTTGTGTGTTCTAGATGGCTCCTTTCAATCATCTGGAAAATATTTTAAAAATACTTACACGCATGGCCACTATACCCAGGGATCTGCATTTAATTGTCTGGTGTTCGAGAAGCTTTGTTATTTCCTAACATGTCCTCATGCCTGAGAACATACTAAACAGAGGTGCTCAAGGGCCCATAAGTGTTAGCAACAATGTTAGTTCTTATATTGAGATGACTTCTGTTTTATTATTCAACCATGGTTTCTGCTTCTGTCTCTGGAGCTAGCCAAAGCCATTCTTATTACACTTTCATGTTCTCTTATCTTCTACATGAAAAATGTTATAACATTTGAGAGAAGTGATTACACATCCCTTCTCTTTTGTGGTTTAGAGTCACCTTGTTCCTTCAACCCAGGTTTCCCACCTTCCTGTGTGTCCAACACTATTTCTTTCAACAAACTATTATATTCTGTGATCCACACACTGAATGATGACTAATGTAGCTAAAATAATGGAAAATTTACAAACCAAGTAATAAGATGGCATTAAAATGTTAGACTCCCCTATTAACACAGTTTATTAGGTGACCTTTGGATAACCAACACTTGTGTAGCATTATAATTTGCAAAGAAAAGGTATTTTCTGATTGCTCTTCAAATAATTCTGTGATCTACACATTGTTCTTATCTCTTCTTTACCGTAAATATGCTGAGGATCAAAGAAGTTTCATAAATTGAGCAAATTCACAATAGTTGTAGTCAGGATGCCAACCAGAATTTATTGATACTAAATCCCATACTGTTTCATTTTTCTTTCCAGAGTGTGTACAAAGATAATTTAAAAAGCATAATTAATTTATTAATGTACTAAGGATGATTACTATTCTTAGGGGTTGCATAGTAAATTCTGCAAGCATTCTGTCTGTGAACTTTTGATTGATGCAAACCCTTTGATATGATCTGATTCATAAACACTGACAGTATGAAATCAAAAAAAGGGAGGTAAGTTGGAATTTTGGTGAGGACTTCACAACCTGTATATCCATCTTGATGAACTGTATTTAGCTAAGTGACTAACAACAGCCTCCCACTCTTTCCTTTTTTCAGGTGTACCAAAGGGCCTGAGTTACAATGGTGTGAAAGAGCTCATCTTAGCAGTCGATGGCGTGGTGTCTGTTCATAGCCTGCACATCTGGTCTCTAACAATGAACCAAGTGATTCTCTCAGCTCATGTTGCTACAGGTCAGTGAATTTTGTAAACACCATGGACAAAATTCAGCCCTTGTCCTGAAATGTCAGTCTTCTGGCCTCTTTGTAGAGCTGCCCTTAGGGTCTATTGCCTGTCAAAACAACTGTAAAGTGTTTTGCACTACCCAGGCCCTTTGAAACCAACCCACTTATCAATGTTGTCATAGCAACAGTGATTCAGATGACATCCTTAAGGCTGAATGCAGAGAGTAGAGATAGTACAAAAGGCTAACTGCCTCCCAAGTTCAAAGCCTTGGACTCTGAAAAGTCAACTTCAGCTGTTTGGCTTGGTGCTTTTTCAGTCAAAACAATAAGAATGAATTTAACAAAAAATCTAGATTGAGTATCTCCTGTGTGTAAGTGCATACATTGAAGATAGAAAGAGGAAAGATACAGGCCTCACTCTTAAAGTTCTAATAAGCTAACAGAAGTGGTGGTAGGAATTATGGTAGGTCCTTCCCCAGGTGCTTAGAGATTTTGCAACCATGTGAGATAATTTTTCGGGTATTAGGACTATAGTTAAAAGCTGCTTTTGCAAGTAGAAGATGACTTTGCCCTTGATATGTACTAAAGCTAGGAGAAATAGGAAGTTGGAGATCTTTCACTGCTAGGGAGAGATCTCAGGCCAAGATGATATGATAGGCTGCTAAAAAAAAGACTCAAGAAGTGACTTAGAGGCAGGGTACAGGAACACTAAGACAGTTATTTGAGAGCTGTACTTTCTCAGACATCCTCATCTTCTCTTCAGGGCTCAGATCTAGCTTCCAGGAGTTTATAGCATCCTCTACACCAATATTTCATCACAAATGTAAGAATATGCTAAACAATCAGGTCACAATGGAGGAGACTTTACAGCCTCCTGGTACTGTTTGGAACAGGAGAAAGAATGGAGTGAGGGTTGCTGCTCTAAGAAAAGTCTGTAGGGAGCTCTAAATGCTTCCTGGTTCCTGTCACTTGCCTTGATATAAATTCTAATTAAATCCAAGGGCTGCAACACAGAGATCCCTGGGGGCTAGAGAATAGGACTGTATAAAAAATAATAGTTATGTCTTAACCCTTCCCAGGGATTCTCTCCCCTTCTATATTCAACTCCTAGGGATGCCAGAGTCCAGAGGTAACTGTGGGCAGGAAGAGACTGCATAGCGCTGGATACTTTGCTGTACTAGAATGTCCCTTGGCTTGTCTGTGTGAATGTAGTTGACTGTCAAAGACAATACAGTTTCTTCTGAGTGTTCTGCCTGTGCCCTACCCCTCCAGGCCCAAGAGAAAGCATTTGAAGCTGATGTCAGCTATCACCCTTATGTGAAACCAGCGCTAATCTTTCTGTGGTTCTTTGTCAACAGCAGCCAGCTGGGACAGCCAGACTGTGCACAGAAGGATTGCTCAAGCTCTCAGCAGCAGTTTCACTGTGCACTCACTCACCATTCAGGTGGAATCTCCAGCCGACCAGGACCCAGACTGCCTTCTCTGTGAAGACCCCCAGGACTAGTTCAGTCACACTGTCAGCTTCTAGCATTTGATAGGCCACAACAATCTGCTATGTAGTTTCTGAAACATAAAATAAGCAGTCAGAAAGAAATTTGAGAAAGTCGTGATGATACATTGCAATGCATATTATTTTCTTCTTTATTTAGCTTCATCTACCATGAATGAAGATGCATTTAGATCAATCAATCAATTGGATTAGACACTCATCAGTAGCTGTGTTCAATTACAGGAACATGTGTCTAAATTATTCTTAACTGAGGCTGAAATAACAGCTATTTGTAACCAAAAGCAATAAAAGATTCACCTTCCTTCAATAATGTATTCTGAGAGTTAGTGGGTGATGTTGAATTCAGGAAAGTCTTCTTTGGAATTAGTGTCAGTGACAAAGAGTCACAAAATTCCCCCAAAACATGAGAAACAATGATGAAAAGAGCTTCATCAGGCATAAAAGAGAATCTTGAGTCATTAGAATTTGACTCTTCCACCATCCTTAATGTCATTTGCGTAACAACTTTTGACTCCTATCAACATCACTATTCACTAAATGGGATAGAAATTTCCTGTCTCATCTTGTATGTAAATTATGTTGTTATGAATCTGAAACTATTGAATTATATTTTACTTCTCTGCAAAAGAAAAATTATGAAATTGCTGCTTTTTGAGGGATTTCATAAAGTGTAACTTAATAATGTAAGAAAATGAGGAGATACCAAAAGGGATAATGACTTATCCCATGTCATATAGAAACTCATTTAGTCAAAGAATTAAGATAAAAAACTCTCAGATATTGAGTAATATTTATGGAGCACTATTATTCAATTATTATATTGGGACATTTACCTCTGTCACTTCATTTCATTCAAACAACAACTTTGAGAAGTTGGAATTAATATCATTATTGTATAGATAGGACATAAGGTTCAAAGAAGTTAAGTAACTGAACAAATATTATTTGGTAATTCATTCAAAAATATGTTTTAATGCTGGCTATGGGCTGAATGTCTTAGTTTGTTTTCTGTTGCTATAACTTAATTCCACAAAGTAATTTGAAAGGAAGTGAGGTTTTTTAGGTTCGTGGCCCTGCTGGGAAGTTTGAAATTAGGCGGGTGCATCTGGTAATAGATCTTTCTGGTGGGAGCTCACTCACTGCAGAATCCCAAGGAGTGCAGAGCATCACAGAATAAGTGAGACTGAACATCCTAGCTCAGATTTTTCCTCCTCTTCATATAAAGCTATGGTCCCATTGGATTAGGGCCCCACCTTTATGGTCTTATTTAATCTCCCAGAGGTCTCACCCCTAAATACCATAGTCAGATTTAGTTTCTAACTTCTTAATACCTCCCAATGGGGATTAAACTTCAACAATGAGTTTTGGTGGGGCTATTTAAACTGTAGCACTGAACCAAGCCTATGTGATTTCTTATGCTTATGGAGTTCTGTTCTTTTGTGGGGACACAGGTATTGAATGGATAAACACACCAGAGATATGCTGCAAGGGGTAGCAAGTGATATGAAAGAAGAGAGGCCAATTTAGATTGAAAGAGGTTAATGAAAAGTTTTTCTGAGGAAACAGCATCTAAACTGGAAAGGAACCAAAAATAGATGCCTGCTAAGCAAATTTTAGGGGGAACCATGACCCTCGAAGAAGCAATAAAATGAGTGGAGACATTTGAGAAATTGTGGAAAGCCCTTGTGACAAAAGGATACACATGAGTGGGTGAGTTAAAGAACATAAAGACATGAAACAGGAGAGAGAAGCAAGGCCAAAGCAGAAAACCAGATATATTTTATCCTAAAGTCTACTTAGGTTTTCTCTTTAAACACTTTTTCCCCTTTTTTTTGACCAAGGAATCTGTGCCTACAATCGATCTTTATTTCAGAAGTGCATGTAAAAGATGAATCTAAATTCTTCAAAAGAATGAGATGAATAACATGTTGAGTTTAAAAGTAAAAGACTGATTGTGCTTCCTTGATGTCACTGTCCGTCAGTGAACAGGTAGAGCTGTTCACAGGTAGCACTGAGCTTCACCCTCTACCCAAGAGTCTGGCTAAGGAAATAGAAAATCTGAACTAATTGGAAAGGTTATGGGCTGGCCTACCCAAAGGCCTCACTCCAGAGGACCTGTGTTATTCCACTGGCAATGGGGTTATGGAAGAGAGGAGATGAAGTGGCATAGCTGAAATAGGAAACTGGTAGAGGAATGAACTTGACAGAAAATTTAAAAACATGGTTTTCCTCCCTTTCTGCTTCCTTCCAGATCTATAACACTGAGTTGTTCTGTTTCTCTGGGCTTCAAATTCCTCATCTGAAAATGAAGATTCTAATTTCACCAAGGATAATAAATGTAGCAAACAAGGTTATTTTGGCGGTAAATAGTGATTGCTCAATAAATGTTCCCTCCAGTCCAAGGTTTCTCAGCCTTAGTACTCTTCACATTTGGGCTCAGATCATTCTTTGTTGTTCAGGTAATCCTTTGCATGGTAAGATGTTTATCAGAATCCCTAGCCCCTATCCATTAGCTACCAGTTGTGCTCTCCACCCCTAGTTGAAACAACCAGACATACCACCCTGCCAGACACACACACATGCTATAAGGGAAGGACAGAGGTTGCTTGGCTTGGGGGATTTGGAACTTGAATAGCTGTCTTTGAACAAGAAACTAAAGATAAAAGAGGAAAATTGAGGCAACTCCTTTTATTCTAGGTCCACTTCTGTGCACTTACTTCCCAGATTCTCCACCAAGGAGGCAGGGGTATATATGATTTGTCTGAGACTAGGATATTCACTAGACTAAGTTTACTATTACACAAAGTTCCTGTGTTTTATAGCCAGGGACATATCATGCTCTCATTTCTTTTTTTCTTACCCCCTTGGTAAATAAACTAGGCAGAGTGTGTCTCTGTGAGCCGGGACTAGTCATGGTTCTCTCCTTTTCTTAATGACTCTTCTGAGCAAAGAGCTGATTTAGACTAAGGCCTTCTCTGCAGATATGCCCATCCCTCTCTCCCTCTCATCCCCTGTGCACAGGGATGATTGAGTGGGGTAGTCTCAACATTTCAGTTTGAGTAGTTCTACTCAAGAACCTGATGGCTTCCTTCAGCCTCCAGCCCAAGAAGTGTGTCCCAATGAAACATTTCACTAGATTATTAGATCTTGACTCAGATACTAATCGACTGGTATCTTGATTTGTATTCTGTTGTTTATAGGCCTTCTCACAGAACTCTCATAGGGAAGATGGGCAATTTGCAAGACAGGATTCTATCATTCTGAGTCCTTGATTTTATTACATCATCTTATCACTCTCTGAACTGCAGTCCTTACCCCAACAAGGAGATAGTTTAGCTGTTTGGTGGAGAGGAAATGAATTTGAATATATTAAGTGTGAAGGCATAAATGTCCATCAGGCAGTTAGAAATTTGGTTACGGACTTTAGAATAGATTATTTCTTGGGATTTTTCCTAGTCTGAATATATCCATGAATATACAGAGACTCCTTTTAGAATTAATCTTTATTCTTTTCTGAAATAAATCCATCCTATCCTAAAATTCCAACCTGTTTATTAATAAGTTATTAAAAACAGGAAGGTAAAATAGGTCCTTTCTGGGGATTGGAACCAGCAGGAAGAGGGAGGATATAAGAAAGGGTGAAGGAGGCTGGATGTAGTGGAATATTGTGTACTCATGTATGCAAATAGAAAACGAGATACGTTGAAACTATTCCAGGAATTGGGGGAGAAGGGGTAAAGGAGAATGATGGAGGGGGTGAACTCAAGTATGACATGTTGTAATAACTTTTGTAAATGTTACAATGTACCCCCAAGAATAATATAATAAAAATAAAAGTAATGAGAAATAAAATTTCATAGAGTCACTTTTCAAACGAAACTATTACCTGGTGTGGTGGTACATGCTTGTAATAGGCTGAAATAGGAATATCAAAAGAAAATATTTCTACCTTACAGAGTGTTTAAACTGTGGGACCCATCAAAGAACATGGTTATAGAAACCCAGGTATCTTTAAGAAAAAGATGTTCAAAAATGTTCAAGTTAACAATCCAAGTTGGTGCCATTATAATTAAACTACAAGGAAGAATAAACAGATGCAATTAATTCATTCCATGTGAAAACATGGTCTGAGTACCTGCTTTGTGTTTGGCATATAAACAGGAAGCAGAGCCAGATGCCAGTGGCTCACACCTGTATAATCCTAGATACTCAGAAGGCAGAGATGAGAAGGATTGTGGTTCAAAGCCTGCCTGGGTAAATAGCAAGACCTAAACTTGGAAAACCCTTCACAAAATAAGCCTAGTGAAGTGGCTCAGGGTGAAGGCCCTGAGTTCAAGCCCCAGTACCACAAAAAAAAAAAAAAAAAAAAGAGGAAACAAACACAGAGAATACTTCCAAACCCTAATTGTCACCTCCTGTGGAGAATAAGTTAAAAAAGATGTTCAGACCCATGTCTGGGAAAGCCTGAGGCATGGGTTTGGTTTGGGATCTGGACTTCTGTGTTTAGGTTATCCAGAGATGACTCTGAAGAACAGCCAGAATCTGGAAGAAACATAACCACTGGAGGCCACTGAGGAGAAGAGGCTAACACATACCCAGAGTTCAAATTGTAAGGATGTAGTGGGGCACAGAGGGAAAATGACAAGGACTGCTGAGCAGGCCTAGTCATCAAGGCTTCATGTCATTGAGATGACAACTGTGTTGGATTTGAATTGCACATGCAGGTTCTCTTGACAGGTGAAGAACAGGGCATTCTAGACCAAAGGAAGAGCGTACATAAGCACACTTATGCTTATCTATTAGCTTATTTTATTTTGAAAAGCAAAATTTACATAACAACAGAAAGTCTCAACTCTGTGATGTTTTAAAACCATATAATCTGTACAATTTATGATCAGGAGTTATATCTTAGATGATTTTTATGTCCTTGTCAACCTCTAGCTGGATACTGGAAACTAATAAGCAATAATTGTTGAGGCAATGACTCTAGGGCT